ACTCCCAAATACTTAAATCCTCAACATTAATTCGTTTTTGTGCACCCAAGCGAACTTTTACTGCAGCCACGGTAGTTTTAGGTTTACTAAAAAACATTGATACAGTCTTTTTAACATTAAGGCACAGCCATGAGTCATTCTGTCATTTTGTAAATCATGTAATGCCAATGAAAGCTGATGGGCTGCATCATCAGCAGTTTAGGCTTCTGTAAAAACTACCGTATAAGTCTCCTAATGCTAATTCAAATTAACACAGTTTACTTACACCCCACTACACAAGGTACCCAGTACTAGCATCAGCCTATTTAATCAAGTATTTATTGCTGCCATTTAGTGATCTCTCCAGAATTAAACAATTGTGGTTTTGAAAATGTTTTTATGAATCATAAGCTAATGCGCTGTTTCATACATTCATTTCTATGAAGAACATTAAAATATCATCATTGGCCTAACACTGTTATATGTGACTTTGTGCATTTATTGTGCAGCCTAACAACAACAGCCTAACTCTGGTTTCTCACACAAACTCTGTCTGACTTCATCAGTCACAGAAAAGTCTTAAGAGCGCTGCTGCTTCTTTAAGTGAATGATCAAAATACTTGTTAAATGTATTTTGTGACTAGACACCTGCCAGACCTCACACCATTAGAGAGACCCTGTACGTGAAATTGGCTGCTTTAACACAGTAATGTCACAACTTCTGGAATAAATAAAGTATTTGTTGTCTTGTCATGGATTCATTTAATGCATTTATAAAAGCTCTATGGTGTTCTGTTTCATAAAAAGTGGGTGTGATTGACAACTTCAAGGCAGTAATACCTTAAACATGACTTTGACCAGAATCTGATTTGTGACATGTGACTGTAAATTCTTCTGTGTTGTCACAGTTTAATGTCATGTCAACAAGTTTATATCAGTTTGTTTATTTCATCATTATCAGCATTTCTGGTTTCTCAGTGTCCACTGTGAATCTTCTATTTATTTTGGTGACATCACCATCTCATCACATTTCAGTTCATGACAAACTTGAAAGTTGGAGTCTGCAGGTCTAAAATCTTATGCAGGTTTGAGGCCACAGCCCAGGTAGTAAAAGCAGATATTGTGTTTGGTGGT